CGGCGCAGAGCGGTGCGGCGCAGCGCGGCGGCGCATTTACCTGTGTCCAGGCGCTTTCCGGGGGAGCCCTCCTCCGCCTCGGAGTCTCCGCAGGCGCTCCGCGACCTTTTTCGTGGCTGCAGAAGAGTCTCCAACCTCGGAAGGACTACAGACAAAAAGGTTTTGGTCCCTAGCTGAGGAGAAGTTGGCTGGGTTTCAGTGTTCTTGGCAGACTCGGGGGGGCTTACACTTTTCGATTTGCAGAAGAGAACAGAGGTGCGTCTGTTTACATCGCTCGCTGGCTCCGCCCCCGCGGAGGCCGCCGGCGCAGCGCCGCTGGCGAGGGAGGGCGCGCTCGGAGGGCGGCCGCGCGGCGCATTATCAAATGTGACTCTTTTGGAAAGTTTACTCTGCTCGGGGTGGAGTTCTACTGGTTGGGCGGCGCGGTTCGACGGGCGCCCGCGGGGTGGCACCGGCTCCCGCCAGGGCGGCGAAGCGTGTGTTAGAGGATGTTAAATGATGCGTCCAGCGCCATCCGCGGGGTCACGAGAGACGCCGGAGGCGGCTGTTTCTGCGTCCGCACCGCCCGCGCGCAGAGCTCCATCCGGGTTGAGCAAGAGAAAACAATTAGGGTCCAAAGAGTGAGCTACCCAGCATGTTAGTGGTTAAAATGAGAACCTGGAAAACAGCGAAAAAGCCATTTAGTGGGGCGGGGTGCGAGCTCCTCCCGGAACCGGCCAGAGCGCAACGCACTGCCCCGCCGCGCGCAGGAGCGGGCATGCGCGCTCCCGCGCACGAGCACATGAGCGCGCGCGCACCACGCGCCGCGCACGAGCATGCGCGCACCACGCGCCACGCACGGAGACGCGCCCCGCGCCCCGCTCACGGCCTGCAGGTGCCCCCGCGCCCCGATGCCGACACCGCCCGCCCTCCCGGTCGGTCGGTCACGCAGGCCCCAGCCCAGCAGCCCGCGACGTCCAGACAGTACACGCACGGGGCCAGCCCCGCCCGCCGCCAGGCCCAGAGCACAGCCCGAGGGCGGGCGTGCGTGCACAAGGCCCAGAACCCCCCCCCACGCCCTGCAACGGCCTGAATGGGCTGCGGGGCCGGCGAGCCAGTGTGGGGGTCTCCCGCGAGGAGAGGACGGGCTGAGACGGCAGCTGGCGGCGAGGCCACAGTGGCCGGGCCCACCGACGCACGGCACCAGCAGCGAGGGGCGGCGGCAGGAGTCCCCGAAAGCAGAGACGCCCTCAACTCTGAGCCAGACAAGTTCACCCCACCGGACGGGACCCCGGAGCCGAGCGCCCCCGGGGAGCCCCGCCGTCCCAGCTGGGCTCAGGTGCGCCCCGGCCCCAGAGCAGGCGTGCGCGGACGGTAGCCTGGACGAGGAGACCCAGCGCCGTGGCCAGGCGGTCAGCAGCACCCTCCCCAGCCCCGCCAGGAGCCAGCCCTCCACGGACCCCACGGCGGAGCCCCCGTGACCAGCCACGGACGCAGCGCTGACGGACGAGGAGACCCAGCGGCCACGGGCCCGCGCCCACGACGCCCGAGGTGACGGCGCAGCGGTCCACGGGCTCTCGGAGGCCGGACACCCGTCGGCGCCAGAGGACACGAGGCGAGCAGGCAGCCCCAGGCACCCCTGGCCGCCACAGGCCCCGGGCAGCAGCGCCTGCCTGCAGCCGCCGAGTGCGCGTGGACGGACGTCTGGGGCTCTAGGCAAGTGGGAGCGTCGCAACAGGGTGTCGAGGTGACGTCCTGCGCCCGCAGGAGCACGGGCAGGAGCGAGGGCCGCGCGGGCCAGGTGGCCAGAGGTGGTGGCGCGCTGCGGGACAAGAGCCGCGGTGGAGGAAGGGGCGGGCG